TACAGGGACCTGCACTGATTTGCTATAGCCAGGGCAGCTGGGGTGATTCAACCAACAAATTGTGCTGTAGGAGTTCTTCTAGCATCTTATTTTGTGAGAAAGAACAGGTTGGTGGGCCACCTTGCTGAAGGTATCATGTATGCAGTGGGGTAAAATCCCACCTTCAGCCTAACCTAGAAAATTTCCAACCCTGCCCTCTGGGGAAAGCCAGAGGGTCACCGGGCAGCTGAGATAAGAAGCCACATTCTTCTAACAGTGAAGCAACAAGAGGAAAGTCTGTCCACAGGGGTCAGAAATGTCAGGAGCAGAGGTGGGAAAGCCGGGAAGTGTGTGCGTGTACATGTACGTTCCTGGATGTGTGCACGGTCTGGTAGGTAGAGAGGGGGACAGAGCAGATATAAAGTTGCCAAGATATAAAAAATAATTTTGAGGTCATCTGCAAATGCTGTTTAATCAGATTGGTTGCCTAACATCTAGCACTGAGACCAATTGGCCATTCTATAGAAAGGAAAACAGGTCATTTTGGATGTAGCAGAACTGGGTAGGAATGGGCTAGATCAGCATGCTGCAATGGGGGAATTTTCACGGAGAGTTTGCAGCAGGAGCAGCGTGTGTGCAAGGACAGCACCGTGAAAGGATTACTGGGACACAGAAGGGGAGGACACCATTGTTAAACTTATCTTCTTGAAATTTATCTCGGTCAGTTGGTTCCCTCTTTTCTAAGGTCAAGGCCCTTGATAACTCATTGCCCACAGTAAGTTGGCACCATGGAAAGATTGACATACAGAAACTCAGTCTTGCTCTGTCTGCAGTTCAGTGGATGCCCATAACACAGAACACTCAGAGGGCACAGAATGAGGCTGAGTAGTTCATTGTCCTTGTCGATCTGGCCCAGAATTAGAATCCTGCTGGGGGTATCCCTTTCCAATATATGGACCTGTGTTCATGCTGCTGGAATGTCTCTTAAGAATGGGTCATCATTGTTGAATTCACTCATCACCAGATCCAGCAATCAATACACTTTCTCTATGCCAGGCACTGTGCTAGGTTACAGAGATGAATGAGATACAGCACTGATTCTTGGGCAGTGCATAGTATAACTGAGGGATATAAGCCCTGAGGGTCGATTGCAGTGAGGTTCCAGTGCCCCCCCTCTCCTTGTAGCTAAGCCCTCTTCCAGAGCTGTGGGGCTCTCTCATCAGGGACAAATGAATTGCCCAGCTCAACACTGGGCCCAATCAGGTGGCTCTGGCCAATGACATGTTAGCAACTGTGGTGCTGGAATGGGCTTTGGACTTGCTGTTCTGAGCCTCTGCCATCTGCCAACTTGCCCTGCTTAGCCCAGTGGAGGGACAGACACAGGGAGCAGAGCTGAGTCACACGAGTCATTCTGGAGGAGGTCAGTGTAGATCAGCCACCAGCCAGCCAGGCCCCAGATGTGTAAGCAGAACAGAGTCCAGAAAAATCACCTAATAGTTGCACTGAAATCTTGGACCTGCAGACTCAAGAGTTAAATAACTGCTTATTGTTTCAAGTCACTGAGTTTTGGGGTAATTTATCACAGCATTTTCATGGCAATCAATACGAATATGAAGAGCTGCCTAATGATACAAATGAGTCTGTAAAAACTGCCAAGGATCACTGCACATGGGGAAAGTGGAAACTGAGTTCTGCTCCCGGCTTAATAGAGTGTGACCTTGGGCATATCACTTTTCGACTCAGGTCTTCTTTTGTGGAAAATGAAAGGATTAGATTAATTAGGGGTCAAGCATTGGTTTCCAGCCGGTCTTTGAACCCTGTCAATGGTGTGCGTGTCTGGTGTGGACATGTTTTTATGGGAGAGGGTCACTGCATAGCTCTGACCTCAACAGCGAAAAATCCTGGATGAGAAGCACTCTGAAGGCTTTTAGTAGGCTCTGCCCCAGGTGCTGGGCTTCTGTGTTGAGAGAGCAGCACAGGACTTAGGGTTGAGCTGCCCTGTGGGTGGGGTAGGCAGGAAGGTTTCCCATGGGAAAGGCTAATTGTTGGCTTCTGACCCACAGAACGCGTTAGCTTGAAATGAGCCTCTGGGACAGTGGTGTCATGGGGGCTGGACCCTGGAGCTCTGCGTCCTCTCGTTGCTTCCCTTGCTTACCCTCTGCCCACCTGTCTGACTAGTCCTGGGTGGTCCTTTCTGCTGTTTCTTTGCAGGAGCCTTTCCCATCTGCCAATCAGTCTCTCCTATAAGTCTCCACCTATTCTGTGTCTCTGTGTCCTTCTAGTTCAGAGTAAGGTCATGTCTCCCCAGCTAGACTCTAAGCTCTTTGAAAGCAGGAGCCATATCTTCTGTGTCTACTCATAGTCCGGAGCAGCAGAGAGCTGAGCAAGGTCCATTGGCATTGGTGCTGCTAATGCCAGCCCTATTTTCAGGTTCCCCCAGCACCCTGCTGAGTGCTCTCCCTACTGACCCTAGCTGTCATTCAGACTGACCCTTCCTTTCTTAGATGGCAGCTGAGGCCTGTCTCTCTCCTCAACTGGTGTAATTTCCTGCAATCTTTAAGGTTCTGTCAGAAGACAGAATTGATTCTAGCTAAAGTGTTAATGGCTAATAACAAGGTCTCCCTTGAGTATTAATTCTGTATTTGAACTGAAGTTTTCAATGTTGTCATGCATAGGAGTGACTGGATATCATGATCCCAAATACAGGCTGCTGGGAATATTTTTAGGGCAAGGGGTTGGTGGCTTTCCTCAGATTATACCACCAAGCCATTTAGCATATGAGGCTGCCCTACAAGTGCTCTTGGCAAGACAGTGAGACAGACCAGATACACAGCTCTATCCTGAGGGACCACCTTGGGCTGTGGTTCTTGCTTGATCTTCAGGTCGCCTACGTCACCTTTTATAAGCCAGTGTGTGAAGTGGATCTTAACCTCAGAGCTGGTGTTGGTATGTTTGTGTGTGTGAGTTCTCATACAAAAATTCTATCTTTGTCTTCAGCTTGCTGTCATGATATAATGGAATAGAATCAAATCCTGATACCTGAGTTTCCCCCCGACCATCACGTCCAGGATCCTGCCTTTGATTTACTAAATTGATTATCATCAGCTCCATTTTAAAGATGGGACATGTGATGCTTGGGGGATGTTGGGCTTGCCCAACCCCCCTCGCTATTACGGGAAGGAATTGGAACCAGGACCGAGGACTCCTCCCTGGAGACTGTCACTGAGCAATTCTCCATCAGAGACATTGGGTCACGGGCCTTCATCTCGCTCTGCACCAAGCTTTCAGCGATTGTTTCATGTCCATGAAGCTTGTTACTAGGCAGGCACTTCCAGGTGTGGCTGGTTTATGCGATAGGGAGTCATGAGAAGAGTTATATACAAATTGAATCTTTATAAGCTGAATTTTATCTACACAACTGAGAGAAGACAGCTGCAGGAATCCTTTGATGACATCCCCGCTACCCCCATGCCTGCGTGGCTGGAGTGGTACTTGTAAGAAGCCCTACTCTTTAGTGCAGAGTGCTTATGATCACACCCACTTGCTCCATTTCAGGCGTGTTGACATGTACGGTTTAAATTCTCTGTTAAGCAGAGATGAAAAGTGCCTGAACTGATACTTGCACAAACACGTACAGGCATTAAGAGTCTGCTGGTGTAGGCGAGGCCCCTGGTATAGGGAGTATCATGGTCCAGGAGTCAGGATATCTGGGCTCTCGTCCCGCCTCTGCCACCAGCCAGTGACTTAGTCCTCTCTGGGCCTCGGCTTCATGACTGGACAAATAAAAGGTCAGCGTGATCAATTTCCAGGTCTTGCTTCCCATTCTGACATCATAGGACTCTATGCATATTCATGTAAACAAAATGGTTCCCAGCCACACGGGAAGTATGGCTCTGCCAAGGCCATTTGCATGGACCAGAAACCAAAGCCTCAGAGATGAAGTGCCTGGCACTGGCATTTCTGGTCTTTTCTAGGAACATGTGTTCCATGTTGGGGTGGAGAGGGAGGCCTGCCAGGTGTCCCTAGCTAAAGTGTTAATGGCTAATAACAAGGTCTCCCTTGAGTAATAGTTCTGCATTTAGGTGCTGCCGGATCTGCACACCACCAGGGTGCTCTTATCATGCACGTGGGTGCCTGCACCCGTGGGTGCCCACAGGCTCCCAGCACCCACCTCAGGCCCAGGTATACACTTAGGGGGTGTGTGGCTTCATTGGTGGCTGACTATTTAGTTTTAATGCCCAAAACCAATTTTAAATAAAATAAAGGAATCCCCCTAAATATTCTATATGGGGTTTTCTTTTTTTTTTAGAGGGACATTTCAAGACTAGTTTCACACAGGTTTAGCCGAAAGGGAAATTAAACTCTACATTTAAATGGAGATTACGCACAAAGGAATCCATTAGTTTCAATATTTCTCAGCAGGAGGGCTCAGAGTTATTTAAATAAGTTTAGATATTAAACCTAAAGTAGCCATTAAAGCAATGTGGATTTGTTTGTCTGTTTTTTTTTTCCCCCAGAAATCTTTTCTTTCCAGCTGACTGAAAAAATCCATTGCTTAACCAATGGAGGATATTTTAATGCATTAAAAAAAATCCAGGGACTTTTTAATATAGCACTTCCTTTGAATTTTTAAGTACCATATTACAGCATACTTATTATAGCCAAGTCTCATCTTTTGGACAGATTAAACTCCAACCATTTTGCCTTCCACGCCACCCCCCTCCACAGAACAGTGTTAATATAAACACCGACATTAAACCATATTGGCTATGGAAGAGTCTTTGATTGTCATTGAGATTATTTTAAAAGTTATTTAGGTCCCCCTGTTACATCTCTGCAAACCACTGAGAAAATGTTGCGCTGGGTTTCTCTTCGCGACATTTCTTTGGGGATTCATAAATATTGATTGTACCGTAAAAAATTGATGGAATCTTGAAACAGACTGCAGTTGAGGCAGCTGGGGAATTTACTCAATTTTTCTCAATCGCTGCAGTCTATAAAAAGAGGAGATTTTGCAAATTGTTTCTCACCTTGTCTTTTTAGTATTTAATAGCTCTCAATTCTGTAGCCTTCTGAACTACGCACTGGGTGTGTTTTCCATCAAAACGGAATCAGGCCTATTCAATGGGAATTAAAAGGTGGGAGCAGGTTATGAATGGGTTAAATGCCCTGTTCTCCACCCTCCCTCTTCCTCCTCTCCTCCCATCTTCTCTCTGTTTTCAGCATCCTGCTGTTTTGTTCATATGAAGCCTCCATTTGTCCCACAGAAGGCCATATTAGTCCCAGGATCACCCCTTTCCCTCATTTCCCAGCTCCATGATGGAAATAAAGGCAAAGAAACCAATGCTCCAATCTCTCTGTGGTCCTGCCTTTCACCGTACCCTGGTCATTATCAAACTACATTCCCAAAGCAGCTGGACTCCCTCTTGTTTAAACAACAAAGCTCTTGTCATCCTGCTATTCAAAACCTGTTGTCCACCATCTGGTTCCAAACTATTTCCAGAGTCTTATCCTTTCAACACTGTCTGGACTGTTACTTTCTTTGTTCATGAATCCTATCACTGTCCCTCAAACCTACATCATGCGTTTCTTCTTCCAGACATTGGCTTATACATTTCCATCATACCCAGAATGTTCTCCTTACCATCCCATCTTTGGCAGGCAAAATAGTGCACAACTTCTCCTCCCCCTCCCAAAGTCTATGTTTGAATTCCCAGGACCTGTGGATATGTTAGATTATATGGTAAAGGGGAATTAAGATTACTAGTGATATGACTCTGTGCTGAATGTGATCACAAGGATCTTAAAAGTGGAAGAGGGAATTGGAAGAGAGAATCAGAGATGGCAGCATGAGGACTCAGCCCATTGCTCTTTGAAGGTTGGGGCCACAAGTCAAGGAAATCTGGAGGCCTTCAGAAGCTAGAAGGGAAGCTGGAAAGGGGAAGGATACAGATATCCCCTAGGACTTCCAGAAGGAACTCAGCCCAAAACACCCTGATCTCACCTGGAGAGACCTGTGTTGAACTTGGGCTCTTCAGAACTTTAAGATAATGATATTTGTGTTGCTTGAATCACTGAGGTAATCACCCTTAATCACATCTATTTTGCCATTTAGGGATTTGGATTGAGGACCTGGGTATCTTTGGAGGCCATTCTTCAACCTACCATACCTGGTAACAGATAATAAGAAAGAGGTGGTTCTGCCAGCTCCTGCCCCAAGAACCTAAGGCGAGAGAAGGGGAGAGTGCAGGTCAGCTGACAGTGGGAAGCTTGTTGGGTTCAATATTGGATTTCTCTGTGGGGGCAGGGGATATGGCATAGATCTTATTGATCTTAAATTAATCATTCATGGAATTAAGCAGAAATTTCTTTTGGTCTTAACCATCTAATTAATTTTCTCCTTTTGCAATTTGCCAACTGAAGTCTGGTGATTTGCCCAAGATTATAAATGGTTGACCAGCTTCTATATCAACTAAATAAACTGGAAATGAACCCTCTTTGGAATGGCGTACCTGTGGCCTCAGTTGTCCTCACTCATGGGAGCCAGTCTTTGATGTCAGGCTCCACTCCATTCCCTGAAACAAAGTATTCAAAGAGTCGCTGCAGGGGTGATATAATTTGGAGGTGAGAGTGGTCTATCAACCTCCAAAAATTGCCTGCCAATTTCTTTAGAATATGGGGGATGTCCAGTTTTGGGGGAGAGGGTTTGTATTTTTCACTAGATTCTTAAAAGGGTTCATGACCCAAAAGTCAAGATCAAGATTCAGGTCCTCTCTGAGACTGATGTTTGGTTTGTTTATTTCTTTCTTTGAGACATACTGGTTTACATCACTGTATATAATTTAGAAGAATGGGTTCACACTCCCTCAGGTATGCATCACCACAGCCCAGACACCCCAGCCACCCCAGACCACCTGTATCCCTTTATCATCCACCATTGGGCCTCTCTCCACTTTGTTTCTACCATTCTCCTCCCGCTCTAGTGGTCTCAATTCTGCAGTCATTTCTAGACTTTGTTGTGGTTTAGTTCTCCTAGTTTCTTCATTTTTTTTTCTCTGTAGTCCACACATGAATGCAGTCATCCAGTATTTATCTTTCTCCCTCTGGCTTATTTCACTTAACATTCCATTCCATTCTTCCAACTCCATTCATGTTGTCACAAATGGCAGGAGTTCATCTTTTTTATAGCTGAGTAGTATTCCATCATGTATATGATTCACATCTTAATTTGGTCATCTGTCATTGACTCTTAGGTTGTTTCCATAACTTTGCTATTGTAAATAGTGCTGTAATGAACATAAGCATGCATATATCCTTTTGAATTAGTATTTTTGCATTCTTTGGAAAAATACCAAGAAGCTGAATCTATTTTTAGTATTTGGAAAAACCTCCATACTGTTTTCTATAGGAGCTGGACCAATTTGCATTTCTACCAACATACAATACAAGGGTTCCTTTTTCTCGACACCCTCACCCGCATATTTTGTTTCTGAAGTCTTTGATTTGGGCCGTTCTTACTAGAGTGAGGTGGTATCTCATTGTGGTATTGATTTGCATTTCTCTGATAAGTGATGTTGAACATTTTTTCAGGTACCTATTTTTATATCTTCCTTGGAGAAGAGTCTATTTAGCTCCTCTATCTATTTTGTTGTTGTTGTTGTTAGGTTGAGACTGGCATTTAAAAAAGAAAGAAAAGAAGAAAAAGGAAAAATATGAAATAGATCACTTATAAATATACATTTACTTTCTGTAAAATGCTAGAGAGTAAGTAGGTTGATCATTTGGTGATGAAAGAGAAAACAAGGTCTCTACCTTCAAGAATGGCAGGTTTGTTTTGACCTTGGGCCCTGAGATGATTTGTCTCTTGAGAATACTGTAGTTTATATCTCTCTCCTCATTCCAAGACTGATGTATCAGATGGGCTTGTCCCTATCCTCAAGGACCATACAGTCTGGTAGAGTGGTTGGGAGCTGTCCATGAAGGGTTTGAGTGCCAACCATACTAAGGGGTCATGACCAATGTTAAATAGTCCCAAGGTGTTGAGGAAGGAGGGCTCCATGTAGGATGTAGGTGACCTTATGTTGGTGGTCAGTCTTGTAGGAGAAACAATGGTAACTGGAGAGGAGTAGAGTATTTTGAAAGGATAATCCAAGCATAAAGAACAGAATAATATGCAAAGAAGCAGCATAAAAACCTTCATACCTATGAAGGAAGCCATGAGGAGCTAGTCTGGGCCTAAGAGTTATGGTTTCACATCTCTGGATTTCTCTCAATCATGGCTTCCAAGAATTGACCCACGTGTGACCTAATTCTGCATTCAACCATTCACCTTCTCTCCCAGTCATGCCTCTGATCCTCACTCTCTCACTCATCCAAAGCAGCTCTGTTACCTCTAAGGTTCTCCAGGACAAATGCTGCCCACCTGGGTTCCAGGGACTGTCAGACAGGACAGAGGGCAGAACCCAGTCCTTGGCTTGACCTGGGCTGCAGTGTGCAGAGGATCCTGGAGGGCAACAGACAAGAATGATTCCTTATCCAGTCTGTTCTGCAGAACTAGTGTAAGCAGGAACCTTGGTTAGGGAGACAAGGCTGAGAGAAAGACAGGTCATGAGGTCAGGAGGCCCTAGAATTTCTCCTAAAGCTCTGCAGGATCCTCTAGACCCACTAGTAGCCCTTCCTTGGTGCAAAGTCAGTTCACCTCTCTACATTCCCTTCTTCTCCAGAATCTTCCCCCTCCAGCCCTCATTTCCTCAGCAAGTCTCCAGTGCCTTCAGATGAATGGTTTCTCTCTTCTCTGGCCCTTCTACTTGTGCTTGGCAGGAATGCTGATCTGCCTCAAGCTACTGTATCCAACCAGGAAGTAGGAAGCCTTTCCATCTTGCTTTTGAAGTATATATTCATTGGAGGAATTTTATGTTGGCAGTTATTTTCCTTAGGACTTTGAATATATGGCTCCCTGTCTTTTGGCTTCCGTGATTTCTGTCAAGAAGTTGGCTCTCAGTCAACTGTAAATCATTTACTCTCGCTCTTTGAAGGTAATATTTCTTCCCCCTCCCCCCTCTCTTGCTGCTTTAAAGATTTTTCTCTGCTCTGGCACTCCAGTTCCAGTCAAGTTAATTTTGTCACATGTCCCAAATGACTCCTGAGCTCTTCTCTGCATTTGTCATGCCTTTGTCTTTCCATGTTATCATCTGACATTATACATCGGGCCTTTACTTCACTCAGGTCCTCAGGTCCTCGTATGGATTCCTGTCGGGTTAGGCTCAAGTCTCCTGCTTACTCTGCACCAATCCAGCTTCCACCCTCTAGGCCCAGCGAGGTTTCTAACACTAAATCTGACCATGTCATTCCTCTGCTGGAAATATCAAGTGCTTCCCATTTCCTAGAGGAAAGTGAAGTCCTAGCTTCCTAATGTGGGATGATATCTGTGGTGATGATCTCCTGTTACTGTCTTCCTTGAACTCTAAGAACTCTGATCAGTTGTTTTTTTTTTTTTTAATAGAGGCATGTTTTTATTTATTTATTTGTTTGTTTGTTTGTTTGTTTGTTTGTTTTGTTTATACATGCACTGGGTACAGTCAGAAGCGCGGGAGGGTGAGAGAATTCACCAGAGCCAGAGCGGGGAGCAGAGCAGGCAGAAGGACCGAAGGACACTGCTGAGGGGAGCAGCGGGCGGCAGGAGAGGTCTGCGTGCCATGTGGGACCGTCCTCCAGCAGCCGGGGAGCAGCCGGGGATCGAACCAGCGCTGTGCAACCCAGAGCTCAACTGCTGCGCCACCGGGGAGGCCCTCTGATCAGTTTTTAATTCTTCCATGTCCCTGAATTCTCCTTTTCCCTCTCCCTCCCTCTCCCTCTCTCTTTCTTTCCTGTTCTATCTCTCTCCCTCTCTCCCCTTCATTTCTCTCTAGACTTCCTTACTGCCTGCCTCTGCTCATGCTGTTCCTTCTGCCTAGGAAGCTTTTCTATGCCCACCCCCCACCTCCAGGCTCATCGTGCTGACCTCCAGGAAGTCTGCCTGTCTCAGCTCTCCTCCACTGCTCCAGTCCTGTTGCTCCTACTATGCACTTTGCATATTTATCATCACACTAAGTACAAATCACTCTGCCTAAATGTCTGCCCTCCCCTGTCTTATTCATCTTTATATCCCCCGTGTCCCAAACCCTGCCTGAGACATAGAACATACCCCATGAATGTTTAAATGATTGATGCATTAATAAATAAATCAATTTGTGTGACAATTCCTTTCGTTTCACATCCTTAAATGAGTCAATAATGTTAGTCTTATTTGTAGGTGTGAAAAAATATAGGCTAAGTCCCTGTCTCCAATTGCACAGAACATGAAAGTGAAGACACAAAGATTTTTTTTTAAGAATTTTTATTAAAGTGGCAATTCTCAAGATTGTTTTTTTTTTTTTAAAGATTTATTTATTTATACAAGCACTGGGTACAGTCAGAAGTGCGGGAGGGTGAGAGAATTCACCAGAACCAGAGCGGAGAACAGAACAGGCAGAAGGACCGAGTACACTGCTGAGGGGAGCAGCGGGCGGCAGGAGAGGTCTGCGCGCCATGTGGGACCCTCCTCCGGTGGCCGGGGAGCAGCCAGGGATTGAACTGGCGCCGCAGAGGCCTCAGGCAGCTTTGCAACCCAGCGCTTAACCGCTGCGCCACCGGGGAGGCCCAAGACACAAAGATTTTTTAAAACCACATCTGTCTGATCCAACACACACTGCCTTCTCCTTTCCTTCTTTTAACTCTTTTTGCAATCAGACTCCTTAACACATGACCTAGTCTTTGGTAATTTGTGGCCTTCTATTGCTCTCTAATTGGTAACGTAGATGGAAAGAGCAACTGACCAAATGTGTGCTGCGATGTTGTCCACTGGTTTAGTTCGACACTGCAGCCTTATTAATTGATGGCGTAGAAATGAGTCATAGGAATGACAGTTTGACTAGTATAGCCCCATTAGTGGTCTAGATCAAGTAGATCCTGGTATTGTTGAAGCATCCACCTCCCTGGGGAGGGACTCGGATTTGGGAAGCGACACGAGTTGCAGCCAAGAAGAGTCTTGTGAAGGCACTAACAGAACAGTTTTCACCAAGGCAGCCCAGCAGGAAGGGACATGTTGGATCTGACTTGCATGAGAATTGAACTACAGGAAGCGCAGCTGAAGGCACTGGCGGGAAGAAGCCCTGTGGGCCAATGTTCAGACCCTGAATGCTTAGCTGTGTCCAGGCCCTAACTTAGGGGCCAAGGCAGGGCCCAAGGACTAGGAGCTAAGTCACCTGGCCAGGTATCAGGGCTGAGACTCGGGAGAACAAGAAGGGCCCAGTTACCAAAACTGGGGCACTAAGTGGGACATCGCCTCAGGAAGAAGGTATGATTCAGCATCACAGGTCTTGTGGGGAGCAGCAGCCAGGCTCACCTGGGCCGCGGGCAGCCAGTCTCCTCAGGTGAAAGAGGCATCTCCACAGAAAAGGGAGGTCCTTGTTCCTGCCCCAGTGAGGGGCGGAGCTGAGCAGCAGGTAAAGCTATTAAACGTGAAGGAAGGTGGGCTGGGAGGAGAGAATGCAGAGAAGACGCAAGGAGAGAAGGAGAGACACAGAGAGGAGAGGCACGGGAGGAGACAAGGGAAGGGAAAGGGCTCACTTGCTTCTCAACTTTGGACTTGCACCGGGACTGGGGGGTCAGGACGAGACAAGCAGAGGAGAGAGATGCAGAGATACTTGGAAGAGCCACGTGGGTGAGAGACATAGGGAGGCTGACCATGGCAGCCATTATCTTGATTTGTACTTTGGTTTTGCTCCTTTGGTTGATTTGCCTGTCCCTTCTGCCCATTTCCTATGATTCCTGGCCAGAAGGTGCTTTAGACTTGTGGCAAGCTTTGGGCCTCAGAGGCCCCAGTTGTGTCAACCCTGTTTGGCTGGACATTTACCCTCAAGGGGATGGGTAACTTTGAGTGTTTTACTGGGAAACTATTATCCTTTCTTCTCTTTCAATGCATACTTCTCTTTCTTTCACACTAAGAGCATGCTTTGTCTTTATGCCGCTGATGGCAGAATCCCTTTAAAGCCTGCAAGTTTGGGAGTCCTG